TATATATATATAGATTTGGATTAATACGGATCTCCTCGGTGTCCTTTCATTCGAGATTCGAGGAGGAACACGCGATGGAAGGGAACGACGAGATCCGCCTGGGTGGAAAAATCCTCTCTCGATTCGAGGGAAGAAAGAATATCGCGGAGCTAGATGAAGAAAAATCTTAACGTGCACGGGAGAAAATGCAGCTTTACTTCCGGATTCGCGGATTTCGCGGGAGAAGAGAATAGGAGCGAGGTATCAGAGGCTTTTCTAAAGAGGCAGTAAAGCCGAAGAATATGGTAGCTATTCGAGAAAACGATTCGAGAACAGTTCTCTCAACCGGAGAAGAATAAATTCTGAAACTGTGATTATTAATGTTTTTATTAATCAAATTAATGTCTTTTTTTTTTATGTTTGAAAACTGTATTTCGAACAATGATTTGAACGTATCACAGTGAAATAAAATATGTAATATATTTTTCCAAAGTACGTCTGAAAAGCGTACGATTATCTACGATTAAAGTAAAAGATTTCTTTTCCCTACCAATGATATTGGTAACAACATTGCATCAATGATCTAAAGATTCTCAGAATCGCATGCGAATCGATCAGTAAAAGCTGCGTAAAATTAAATTCTAAAAGTTGACGAAAAAGGGGAAGTTGATGAAACAATGGGAATACTATAGTGAAGAAAATCTGTTTGAACGAGACGTCGCGAAAAGAAGTTAGAGCCAGACAAAAATCGATCCAATCTCGCTTATTTCCCTTTGAAAAATCTTCGAAAAAGCGGGGGCCACGAGAAGCCTCGCCTCGGTGTCGGCCGCCCAAAAACTGATCGTCCAAATTTATGCGAGTCGCTCGTATATTGCCAACGGCTAAATACCGTATCTCTACATACACTCTCCCTCTTCCTCCCTCTTCCTCCTTCCCTCTCTCTTTCACTCTCACTCTCGTCCGTCTCGTTCGCTGCACGATCTATCGGTTTTTGCGCCCTCGGTTTTTGTATACACGCGTAGATTAAGTCGAACGCCGCGACACGGTCGCCGTTAATGAACGAGGAAGTGTCGTTTGCGGCAGGAAACCAGGAAGGGGGGGAGAAGGGGGGAATTTTCAAATTTGCGTTTACGCCCCGAAGCCAACCGAACGAACCCCTTACTCTCTCACTGCCCTCGAACCGAACCGAGCGGCTTCCTGCTCTCTGCGCTGCAAACCACTGCCCCGAGCAAATGAACGCGTAAATATATACCCCCGCTCGTAAATACAAGAGAGATTTATACCGCACGCGCACTCTCTCCCCCTTCGATTTTATTTATTTATTTATTTATTCTTTCTCCTCCCATTCGTTTCCATCGAATCGGCCATTTTCGTTGAAATACACGATGTAATAACGATTTTTTTTTCCTTTTTTTTTTCACTGTGAGCGTTTTTTCTTTTTTTTTTTACATTTTGCGAAATTTTTGGAAATTTTTACCCCCTTTAAGCGAAATGATTGAAATTCCATCCGAGAGTGACTTTGTTTGTTTCCGTCGAAGATTTAAAAGGTATAAATTCCACGATTGGACATTTAACTTCTCTTGTGTAAAATGTTTAAAAATTCTATCCATCTTTTACTATCGAGAAATATTTTCGTCGTGAGTTTCTCAATTATTCGCAAAAGAAAATACTTTTATTTATCATTCCAAAGAAAATCTCGTCTTGTGCTTGTTATTTATAACGCGAAACGAAGGAAGCGCACAAAATTGTTACGTTTTTAATCGAAATTAAAATGGTGGATCGTGCTTTGCGTTCTATTCGGATAGATTTCGAGAGACTCGGTGAACTAGGATAATGAATAGCGCAACTCGATCACGGAGCGAGCTGTTTGAGATTGGAAATTTTAGTGAACGAGACAAACGATCCGTCTACATATTTCTCTCATAGACAGAATAGAATTACGAATTTGCGTGTCAAGGTTGGTTTAACGGGATAATTTGCAGAGCGACGGTTTTTACGGTTTTCCTCTTGCGACGAAGAATCGAAGAAAGGAGGAGAGAAAGTTGGCGCTCTTATTGCGAAACTATGCGAGTCTGACGAGCCACTCGAGCTCTCCAATTAATTGGACGACCGCCTTCACGTAGACGATGTTAATTAGAGATTATTACCAATCGTTCTCCCTTTGCGACGAGTGGTCCCGCCGATTGAAGCACCTTGGAAATTATATATCGATCCTAGAACCGTCGAGAAAACCGTTCGTTGTTCCTTGGAAAATGTAAAATATACAATCCTTTCTTCGATCGTCGTCTTTCCAAGCAATCCAAGGAAAATATAACAGAATCTGAACACTCGAGGGAAGATCGAATTCAAAAATTATTCTTTCAAATTTGCGAAAAACATCGAGGTCGAAGATCAGAAATTGGAAAATTGGACGAGTAGATCTACTCGGAGGAATATGGAATTAGTATCGTATTCCACAGCTTGGCGGAGGGGGATTAATTACACGGCGATAAGGTCTCGTCAATGGAGGAGGGGGGAAGGATTAAATGGAAGATGGGCGAAACCTGTTCTTTTATCTGTTGGACGAGTTTTCGAGAGTAATACGATGACGAAGTTCCAGCTTCCTCCGGATACCAACCCGCTGTCAGAGGCTTTGAAACTGGGCCGAGCGCTAATTAAGGTCTAATTAATTGTTTCACGTACGGTGGCAGCCTCCAATTATGGCTTCCAATCGATTATCAGCGTCCGTGGCAGAAGTACGGGTTCCTATTGAGCGAAACACGATCACTGATAAAGAAAAGGGGGAAAAAAGAAGAAGGGAAAAAACGCGGGAAAAAAAGCTCGCCCGGGGGAAAAAGACGAATGCACTCGAATGGAAAGAATAGAATTAGTCCCAGTGTTCCGTTTTAGAGTTGTTGTTGTTGTTGTTGTTGTAAAAGGATCGATGATGACTTTTTTAAAAAACGAACAAATTTTAAGTGTATTAATTTTTCACATAATGATTTGCAGTTCGTTTGTAATTATTATTTAAAAAATTGTTATGCCTTTTATAATAATTCTATTTCACGTGTCGTTCCAAATTACTCATGGATTACCGCCAATTCTATAAAACTTTCCACGTACGTATCTTTCACTCGATATCATCAATACAATCGCTATGGATACAATAAAGATACTCGATCGCATGAATTTAATGTATAAAATTCGCATCCAAAAATTTCTCCAAAAACTACGAATATAATAAATAACATGTTACTCCTACGCTACGATATCTAACACAACACCAGATAAGATAAAGAAGAATATTCAAACCTGTATCTACACGCCAAATATCGTGTTTCATCCCGGTTAACGGCGTGTGTTCACCGTTCACGATAACCATGGCAAACTTTTCCGCTACAGCCTTCCAACAAAAGCCCCCCCACTCCCCGTCGTTCGACTTCCTTCTCTCTTCGTTGCCCCCCCCCCAAAAAAAAAAAGAAAAAGAAAAAGGAGATCCATACTTGTTGCGAGAGAAACATCCGTGGCGAGAAGGGCGCGTCGAAAAGAGAGGAGCTTCGCAGAGTCTTCGATATTCCCTTTAATCCGATTGGGCCGATCAATCGGGGCTCTGCGGACCCGATACTTGCCACGTCCCCCGGGATATCCACTCCGCGACAGGAATGGAACTAATCACGGAGTGGAAACTCGGTTCGTGACTCGGTGGCTCGGTTGGATTGTCGCTTTTGAAAATTTCATTCGACAACGTTGGCCAACCATCCCCCGCCCCAAATTGAGTTTCATGTAACGGTACGTACACGCGATTCCGAATCAATTCGACGATACGTATATATATATATCTGGAATATGGGTCGGCGATAAAAAAAGAAATTCTCTTTGCATCGATAAATTAATCGATCGATTGTCCCAATTATCCGAATTTTGCATTTTGGAATGAAATTGAAATCTCGTCTCTATATAGCCGAATAAACGATCTCTCAAGAATTTAACGACGAAACTTGATGGCGTGTATCAAAGAAATTATCGAAAATGTGTTTACGTTAGGAAAAAATCAATTTGATAAATTTAATTAAATTTTATTAAATTTAAAGATCGTGTATCTGGAATGACTGGGTGATTAAAAGAATTCTCGTTACATTGAAATTATCCGTAGTTTCAATGTTTAATTGCTATCTTATCCTATAGCCCGAAAGATTTCTCGATCGTGACGATTTAATACGATTACGAAATTTGATGACGTGCATCGGAAACGAGTGATCGAAAATTATCGACGAAATTATCGAAAATGTGGTTATCTTGGCAAAAAGGATTCTTAAATATTGGAATAAAGAGAATCAATTTGAACGGTTTAAAGATTAAGTATCTGGAATGATAAAAAAATTCTCGTTTCATTGATATCAATCGTACTTTCTTAATTATCCGAATTTTCAATGTTTCGTATTCAATCTTGTCTCTATAAGAATTTCTCGTATTAACAATTTAATACAAGATTAAATGAAACTTAATGGCGTACATCAGCGACGATACCATATGTTGAAAAAATTATTTGACCAAAAGTCCATAAAAAGATTCTCGAATAAAATTGGAATCAATTCGATCTTCCATTCGAACAGATAAAACACGGTTGTTCCATTAAGGTTTGCAAGTTCACGACTTCGATTTTTCCATGTGAAATAGGACAGGAATTTCAAGAAGAAGACTCGTAAACTATTATGGAAATTCGCAATTAGTATTCAGCTTATTTCGACCAATTACTTATCCGACAGGTATTATCGGTTAATTTAAGCGAGCTTCGTTGCGCAAAGTTCGCGCTCACCTCGAATCCAGCTACCAGGATCCGGTTCAAATAATTTATTCGAAGCGAATATTGGGCCAAATTTCGAGCGATTCCACTAACGACTGATCAACCTTTTGTCGCATCTTTTGTCGCATTAGAAATTCTTCTAAAATTGAAATTCGAAATTTCGTCTCGATCGACGATATATAATAATAATTCTTTCGATTCTTCGAACGACAAACTTGGTATCTCTGGTGTGTTACAGCTACGCGAGTACACGTTGACGGAAACGTATCACGAGGACGACGTCGAGGTGGAATTCGTCAGCAACGACAATCTGCTTGCCAGCAATCCGACTCCTAGAGGGATCGATCCGAACAGGGACCTGAACGAGGCCATCGCCGAGGAACGGAAGGAAATGGACACTCAGAGATACAGGTACGTGTCGCTCGTTCATTTTTATCGAATTCCAGTTCGAAGGGACGAACGGAAGTAGTATAATAGTAGTGGCGTCGAGAGATAGGAAACGATGGGGAAAAATTCGAAAATTTCTCGATTATTATTATCCGTGTTATTTATGGAGCTTAAGGTAGTTTTTTTTTTTTTTTTTTTTTTTTTTTTCTTAGAAAAGTGAAAGTAGAGAAGAAAGAAAAGGGCGCGTACAGATGCGCTTCGTAGACGATTTAATTTATTTGAAATGGCCGTTTTACGGAAGATTGAAATTTACGTTTCTTCTTCCGTCCACGGTTTCGTTCCTCTGAGATTAAGAATTGTCAATTTCCAAACACCAATTTTAAGATTTTTTTTACGTTTCGAAGATTAAAAAATTTTCCATTCTTTCCGTCTTTGTATGCCAAGATTGTATTGCATGCTTTTAATCAAGAAATGGTGATAGAAATATTGTTATCATGGTTTATCACCATCTGCACGTAACAACGATATAAATTCTTTCTCCTTTTTCCAGCAACAATTAAATCCTTCGAAAATTGAAAACTCCTTTCATCCCCCGAGCTTATTTTCCAAATGTGCCCGATTCAGGAAAAAAATGGAGGGGAGGGAGCAGTCGTAGTAGCAGCGATGGATGTTTTCTCCCGTGTGTTTACAATTCACTCTAATTCGAAGAATTGAATACCAGGTCAGATTCCAGCTCGTATTTGAAAAGAGGCTTTCCATCCTGGCAAATTCGCCCTCGAAATTTCTCCCTTAACTTTTTTTTTTCAAACGCTGTATACGCAGAAGGAGGAGCAGGGATGCACGGGGGAGGAAATAACGATTCCGCGCGCATTTCTCGTTGCACAAAGCTAGACGGCTAGACGGAGGCAGGGGGGGGGGGAAGATGAACTTTCCCTATGAAACCGGGGGTGGGGCTCGATCGTAAAAGTTAAAGAGGGAAATAGAGCGAGAGAGGAGGGGAGGAAGGGGAGAAAGGATCTCGCAATGATACGAAGCGAGGCGGGTTGCGAAAGGGAGGAAAAACGCGAGATAGATAGATCTTCTTCGAGATCGTCTTCGCTCTGTGAACAATCATTGGAAGAGGATATCCTTCGTCCACGATCGTGCACCTTCCTCCTCTTCTCTCGCTCTCGCGGACATTGTCGATTTTCATTGAGATTTTCACGCCCAACAGTCCTTTATACGCAAGTGTCCGTTCAACGTGCCCCTTCCCTGCCCCTGACCTGTAGCTTCTGCCTGCAAGCGTTCTTCTTCTCGAACCCTTGTTGCCGCCATTGTGACGATAAGGGGTATCGAACGAATTTCGCCATTTTCTTAGTATTGGAGTATCGGGATTATTGGCGGTCATTTGTTTTATCGTGCAAATTACAATCAGTTTGTTGTATGAGGTAGAATTAAATTTTCGTGGAAAATATGAAGAACGATCGCAAGTAACCCTTAACTCTGTGTATTAATATCCATTTTCGTTCTTATAATCCGAATTTCTGAAATCGAAAAAATGAAACAAGTTTTTTTTAACTGGAAAGACAAGAGGAAATTGAAAATTCGTTTAGATAAGAGAAAAATTATGCCGATATCGTTGTTGGAAACGGATAACCTACAACTCGTTCAAATCGAGTGAACCGTATCCAACTGTGCAAATATCGAATCCATTAATATCCAATTTTAAAGAAAAGGTAGCTTTAGAAACGAATATTTCGTCGATACGATAAAATTGAAATGATCGAAACGCGATTTCTATTAAAAAAATAATGAATATAAAATATCTAAAAAAAACCTCCACTTATTTATCATTATTTATTTTCTTCGTAAAAAACGGAAACTCGTGAAAGAGGAAATAATACGGGGCGGAATCAAACGCGGTTTCCGATTCCCCCTGGTCACCTTGTACACGCCATCCGACATCCGATTCCCGATAACGATATTACTTTTCGCGGATTCTCAGTTGGAATTTCTCCTATTATATACCCGATACAAAGTGGAGTGGCCTTATCCCGTTGTAATATCCGGTCGTGGCTTGGGTCAACGCGTCCATCTATGAAACGGAGCCGAGCCAGTGTCGTAACTTTTCCCTTATACTTTATACCCTCCTTGCCTTCCTTCGTCGGAGTTATCAGCCCTTCTCGAGAGGGGGTGGGCAATTTTTATCGAATCAGACGTGGACGTCTTCGTTCTTCTTCGTCGAATTGGATTCGTTCGCGACAATATCGCGATGCGCCTTGGAAAATTATCGGCGACGGATCGAGTGAAGCGCGAGATTTCATCTTGGGACGAACGATAGTGGAAATAAATTTCGAGACGAGATTTGTCTTATAACGGTTATTTAATTTATATAGGATATTGTAGAGACAGACACTGTACAATTTTGATGAAGCGCGATCTTTTCGAACAGATTTGATCGAACAGATTTTGTGATTCGATTAATTACGAATCGGTCAAAAATTTAGAGAAGGGAATTTAGAAGAATATTCTGGAATTATTATTAAGTTAAAGATTCTTTTTGATAGCGAGATAATAAAATATATCTCATCGTGGTTTAATATCGGTTTAATATCGATCGAGATATATCCTGTATCTTTTATTAAGATTCGAAAATTTTATCTGAAAATTTGGGATAAAAAATTCCCTAGCATGGTAATATCGCATGATGTCATAGATGCTATGGATAAAATATTTCATCGTTTTAATATCGGCTATTGGAGATGGATATCTCGCGTATCTTTTATTAGGATATTTCGTCCGAAAATTTGAATTAAAAAAAAAAAAGAAATGATAAATAAAGAATACATTATATCTCTCCAAAATGAATTTTATTTCACTCTTATGATAAAAATCCGTAACGAAACAATTTTCGTTGCCTTTCAAATTAAATATATATAAAAAAAAAAAATAGATATTTCTATCCAAATTACGGATTGAATAAAAGATACGCTTAAATATCAAGTTCGTGATGCACTCGCACAACAACGTACAAGGTGGTTTAGAAGAAAATAAAGAAGTTTCTTTAATTCCACAATTGGATCACGATTCGATAAACCAGAGAGTACGAACGAGAGTTATCGAGACGAAAGAAAAAAAGGCGTGTATCGATCGAATAAATTTTTTTACCCAAACTGCTGGAATTGTTTCGACGAAGGGGAATAGAAACACAAGCTTGATACCTGGTCACTACCAGCTACCAACGACAATCGTAAAATACGTTGTTCTGGCTACGAAACTTTTAACCAAATTGGAACACCGTCCACTGGAATTTATTTTTTTTCTTTTTTTTCTTTTTTTCCTGTATTCCTTTCGATATATATCAGGAGTATTTCGTATCAATCGTCTCGAATACGCGAAACGTTAATCAAACCTCTCTCTCGTTTCTGCACCATCTCTCTCTCTCTCCCTCTCTTTCTCTTTCTAAGTGGCTTTAAAATTTTCAATCTCATTCATTTCCCCAAGAATCGATCTTGGATCAACAGTACTTTAATCAATCGATTAAGCCATATTTCAATTCTGAATGAAGCTTTTTGATAAGGATGTACGAAGATCGAAGAATTCTATACCAATTTTAAAAAAATTAATTATAGAAATGGATCTCAACAATCTTCTCTTATTTCCTTAAAGAGAACTCTCGAGATTATTTCTTTCACAAGTGGAAACTTGCAAGTTGAAAGTGATTTGGGTAATCGAGTCGCATATTGAGAATTTCACATGTTCGATTTCAAAGTTGAAAGAAAGCATGGAGAGTTGAACAGTTATGAAGACGTTTTAAATTATCCCTGAAATTATCATCACATATTTATCTTGCCAAAAAGAGGCCACGTCAAGGATGGAAGGAAATTCAGCAGCGACGGAGTACTAGGAATACAGCAATTTCACGAGGACGAGCTCAACTTTATCGCGAAACCTGCTATGTATTTTGTAACCGTGTTCCGAATATCAACCATGTTTCGAGCACTTTCGAGGTTTTCCTTTGTTAGGATGTTAACGACAAGCTGGCATAGTGGAGCTGCCACCACGCAGGTGCGACAGCTCATTGAAGAGAGCCAGCTTTAGAAACGTTTCTATAGACACCGGCTATGCCCGAACAATGTCGCTCGACGATGAAAAAGAAGTGTGTCGCCGCGGCCAGCTAGCCGAGGCCATATTGAATAATACAATGTCCTGGCTACCATTCAACCGAGTGACCCACTTCCCTTCTTCCGAATGTGACGAGGAGGAGGGAAAAAAGATTCCTTGCAACAGATGGATTAGCCGAGTGCGGCGGATTTCGAGCGGGAACCACCTTCTCCAACCCTTCCTTTCAATTTCCCTCCCGTATTTTCATCGATTTCTACTCGCCTCTCGGGAAGCGCGGATCGCCACCTAAATCGAAACGATCGATGAAACGATGATACGCGTGTAATGCTCTTCGAGCCCTCCACTTCTCCATTCCGACTTCAAAATGACTACTCGTCCAAATCTTCGTTCCAGTCAGATTCAGCCACTCCAACTACGGCGATTCAACCCGTTCTCGATACCTTCTCTACCATTTTACCGATGATATATATATACATTGGAACAAGCGAGGAGGAGGAGGAGAGAAGCCGATGAAAAACATCGTGATAAGAGAAAAATCGAGGAAGATGTCACGAGGAGGTTATGATGCTCCTCGTTGGAATCGACGTATAACGTTGGAAGGTGGCCAGCTTTTTTCTTATATATATATATATATAAGAAGATTACCGGAAACCGAGGATCAAGTTGTTCTTGTTCAAAGTGGTCGGATAGACGCGTCGAGGATGTCGAAAAGAGATCTTCTTTTCGCATCTTTTATTGGCTTCCTGGGAAATTGGATTATTATTGGTTCAAAATGTAACAGAAATTGATTAAAAGATCGTCGATTTGGTCAATAATTGAGAAATGAATACGCTCGATAGATCGTTGATTTTATACAACCAAGTTAAGGTTATTTCTTCGTAAGAGATCGCGAAACGATATCGACGACCTCTGTTACTTAGTTACTTAGTTACTTAATCTACTGGCCTAAATCTTTTCTTTCTTAACAATCTACATTACGTACAGGATCAAGAAACCATCGACAATCTCTATTTCACCTTCATCTTTCGAAGAAATTTCTCGACTATCTCATATATTATAGCATATAGAGTCAAAGCGTGTTCGAGTCGAGGGAGAGCGATTCTCTTTTACGTTAATCTAATTTATTAAACTCTTGGCAAATAAACAAAGTTGAAATGTCAACAAGCGCTGGTTGTAAAAAATAATAAAAATAAAAAATGAGAAACGAACGAACGAGGCGAGTGTAAACAAACAAGCAGGTTTTAAATATTCACGCCAGCTGTTCCTTTCACGCGAATGTTTCCCATTTCCGAGAATATTTTATAAAACGAAAGACCACGCTTCCTTCTTTTGTACGGGGAATGAAATTCAATTATTTAATCTGAAAAAGCATCGTCCTCCTCCTCCTCCTCCTCCTCTTCCTCCTCCCCCCGCCCTCGCAAATATTCACAGATTACGATTAATTACCATTAATTAACCCGGCTATGGGGAGTCCTTTGACAATTCGGGAAGTTAAATTAAATATAACTTCCTCCCTTGTCGTCGAAAATACCAGTCAGTTTTTTCATTGAATTATCGCGCGCGAATGTACTTTGGAATTCGAAATACAACGGAAAAACAACAATTTGAAATTTCGGCTTGGAAAATGGCAAATGCCGCCACAGGTTGGACGGTAATCAGAATTTCATTGAGACGAAGAGGCGAGAATATTTGAATAAAACAAATTTTAATTCTATCGTCGAGTTATTTACTTTTTTACATTTAACATTCGATCGATCGTTTTCGATCATCTACGACGTTCCAATTCCTAACAATAGTCCACACGCAAGTTTTGTACAAAAGTTTTAAAAATTGAAAATGATAGATCCGAAATTTGATATCGAGATATATTTAAAATATATCTTTTTCTTTTTCAGATCGAAAAATAAAAGGAGCTAGAGTTATTAATTTATTTATTATTATAATTTAATCGTTATTAACGATCACTTATCTTATTTCACCAGCAACATTTGAAACGAAACAATTGGTAATAAAATAATATTGTAAATTAAACGATGAATTAATTTCGAACGGTTTTACGATCAATCGAAATTCGACACAAATTAACGAATGTAATCAATTCCATTCATTTTTCTCCAACCCTGATCGTTCCAATTTTTAATCCATCGATGAGCCAGTTTCCGATGCACCAAAATAAACGATTCTAATGGCGACTTTTATTATTATTATTATTATTATTATCAAAAGCGAGAGGAAAAGCGCAAGATGTCGTTCGTAAACGTATTTAATTAATTAATTACGCGAGGTTCGTTTCGATCGCAATATCGGGCCGTTTCAAAAAGAAGAGGTGGCCAATTTGGCGCGTAAAGAGATCGATTAAGCGTTAAACGCGAATACCTTCGCGGCTAATCGAAAATATATTTACGAAAGCGGCATTATTATATCGGAATTTGCAATTCGGATCGCCCGTTGCCGCGCAGTTTGACAATTTTAAAATGCAAATGGCCGCGTAAATTGATTGGCTGCGCGGTAAACTTGGCGCTTCCGAAAGTTGCGCGCGAAAATCGCGAGGGGAGCCGCGTTTCGCCAGGCCGAAAGAATTTTTGCAGAATTTTTCTTCCCGAATCGAGGAAACGAGAATTGTGTGATACGTGGAAATATAAGGGATAAAGGAAATGGAGGGAATGGAATGGAATGGTGTAGCATTTCGTGTGTCGTAATCTCATCTGTCGAAACTGGTGAAACATTTTTAAAATATTTAAAATATCGCGTTCGTAGATGATTCGAAATATTCGAAAGTGTGCATCGCGATATTTAAACAAATCTCTGTATAAAATCAAACGAGCCAAGGTAGGAAAGTTAGAATTCTTTTTTTCGAAATTACAAGACAACGTGCAATATTGATTTTTCTTGATACACGGTATATCATTTAATATTATTTTTATTTCAATTTTCAAATTTGTATCTTATTTATCTTACTTTATTTTAATTTTTATTATAATTATTTCCCAATCGAATCTCAACGATAACGAAATGTTGCATAAAATTATTTCAACAAACTTCGATTCGTTCCGTTAAATAAATCGCCCTTCCTTTTTTATTCCGCCACGTTTTCCAAAAACGATCCCCGCACAATTAAAAACTCCATTGCTGGCGGTTTTTCCGAGAAAATGCAAAATTATCGTCCCTCCCCAAGACTTTTCCACGGCCGCAGCCTCTCCCTCTTCTTGCTCTCCACGGTTTAATGTGGACGGCAATTAAGACGTAAGGATAAGATTATCAGCGTTGCAGCAGCGGAAGCGTTAAAAATTACAACGTAGGGGGGGCGGAGTAATTAAAGGGAAACTGGGTCAACCGGGCTGGACGAAACAATTCTCGCCCGAAAACGAGGAGGGATGCGTGAAAATTTCGACTGTTCTCCTTCTCGTTCGCTCGTAACGTTTTCGCCAGAGGGATGGGAATTAAGATGATTCAATTTCGACGAAATTGTTTGTAGTTACTTTTCACTGTGTTGTTTATTCTCCTTTTTTCGCTCGGATACGAAATGTTGTATAATTATCGGTGAGAGTTAGGTGAAAAATAATATTAATTGGATACTAGTAGTAAATATTATTATATTGTCGCGAGATAGGATGTATCACGACATTAATATATTTTCATATCAATAAGAAAATTGGACTTTATTTTCTATTCCACGAACGATGGAACGTTTCTTCTGAAATATTGAATCGTTACGTACATATATTATTCAACTTGGTTCTTCAATGAAATAAGTATCAATTTAATTCAATCATCCTCTCTAACGACAATATTATTTTTCTTTAGGACCGTCGAAATGAAAATAATTATACTACGAAGGGTTAATCGAGAATTCGATCGTTTCGTCTGCAACAAGCAAATATTTATCCTCTAAGGATATTTTTGCCTCCTCGTCGATGCGAATCACAAAACTTGTAATCAAAGTCAATACTAACTATTCATTTTCGAATCGAGACTCGTCGATCAAGAAAATTGATCCTTCAGAAGTCTTCATCGTCAAATGAGGCGCGTTTCTTTCCTTTTCTTTTCCTGCTCAAAAACCCCCGGTTATTTTCGAGGCTCGATCGAACGAACGATTCGTGAATCGCGGGACAAACGAGAGAAAGAATATAAACGTACGTAAGCGAGAGAATTGAATCCAATTCGCCGAATCATCAGAATCTATCTTCTCTGGTGAAATCTCTGATGCAAATGCAATAATTTAAAAATTTAGAATTCGAAATATCACGATAGCATCAAATCGTGATCGTATCATATTCCTCGTTCTTTTAATACTTTTCAAACTCGAGCACAAAATTGCTCGAGAATCATGAATCAAACCCTAATACCCATCACTACATGCTCCACACACGGTGGAAAGAGGCGAGATTGGACTGTCTACTTCTCGACGAGTAGTAGAACTCATTCTCTCCGACGATTCTCGATTCCTCCTGACTAGAACCAACATCTGATACCGAGAAACACGAGAAGAGGGAAAAATTCGAGTTGGAAAAAAAATTGGAGAAGAGGAAAGGATATGGCAAAGTAGGATGAATAAGTTTCGATTTGTGAAACAGTAATCGATCCACTCTCTCTCTCTCTTTCTCCCCTCTCTCTTTCTCCCCTCTCTCTTTCTCTCCTCTCCTTCCCTCTGTCTCCCTCGCTTTTTTCCTCGCCGGCCACCGACTCTACCCTCTCATCGCGTACGTAGACGTACGGCAACCGTAAATCAACTCTCGAAATTGTTTTCGAGTGGCGTGCGCTACGTCCGCTTCGGTAAACCGGGATGTCTAGAAATTCGAGTAACGGCGTGGACGAACGATAACACACAGGATCCCTGTGTGATAACTTTTCATCGAACGAGAGGGTGAGGGAGGGAAGAATGGGAAGGGGATCCCCCGATACGCGAGATACGATCCCGCTTGTTTGAATAGATTTCACGCGGATAAAAGAAGTTTGCGGCTGGGATACGGATTTTCTTCCGCAAATCGAGTATAAAATGCCGAGCCCGTACAATTTTTTGACGCGAAACGAAATTGATCGAAGTTGAATCGAGATCGAATGATTCTTTTCTTTTTTTCTTTTCTTATTATTATTAGAACGATTATTGTTATTATTGTTATTTACATCGTTTATGTATTTGTTCAGAGAAACGGAGAAGCTTAAAGTAAAAAGTCATTTTTTCCAGGGAGAGAAAGGAATGAAATTCATCTCGATCGATATTTGATTTCAAGGTACTGGACGACGACGGGGAACGGTCAAATGGTGACCGAGGTTCCACGAGACAACAAGGCAGCGATCATGGACAGCATCGCCTCGTCGTACGCGTTGCAGAGGCCGAGATTCGCGGCGACAACCCCTCCGAAGGTGGCGAAATTCGAGGGTAAAAGCGGTGGGTGGCCTTATTACCAGAAGTACAAGCAGGCGGAGGCGCAAAAGGCGCAAATCTTCGAGGACATCCAAAGGAAAATGGCGAACGCGACGAGCGGGAACAGCATAGGCGTCCATTCGTGGAATTCGACCGACATCGCGGCCCAACGCCAGCACAGGCTCAGGATGAAACATCATCGGCTGACGTCCAAGGGGAAGCGGTTGAGGACGCGTAAGTGGGGAAACCTTTGTGACCCGTGTATATCTCGGCTTTTTATCGCCCTCGAACCCATTCTTCCGATCGTTGAAAAGCGCGGTGACATTGTTCGCGCGGACAATGAAGGACCAACAGTTGATGCGATCTTTTCATTCATGGAAATTAATGGTGAAACAGAACAGCACGGAGATATTTTCCACGCAAATGATCAAAGGATGTCCTCTTCTTGCCTCTCCGACTTGTTTCCCCCATTCAGAGGAACCGGCTTTTGTTAGCTCGGGACCGCGTCGATTATCCTTTTTATTCCTCGTTTCGTTTCGTTCCCTTCCCTCTGGATAAACGTTGTATGTCGCTCAATTTCATTTTTTGTTTTTTTTTTTTTTTTTATTTTTTATCTTCGTCACGATCATTCGGCTGTTTCAAAGATTGACTTGCATTTTCTATTTTTAAGTACGAAATCGTAAAGTTTATCGTCTAAAGAAATCAATTTTTCTGAGTAGTTTCGCAATAAGTTCAATCCACTTGAGAAAATTGAATAATAAATGAAATAGTTTCAATAAGATGAAATCAAGATGAAGTAAGTTGAAAGAATATTAATTCGAATGTACAATCCATTATTCATCTCGATCAAAATTCCAAAAATTCCAAAAAACTTTGTCCAAGTTCGACTTTGAAAAAATTGAATAATAAATAAAATAGAAAATAAAATAGTTCTTCAATAAGGTGGGATCTAAAAATCGTGATCTCGTCCGCAATATTCTCAAGCTTCTCCGTTTGAATCAATTATCAAAATCAACCGAATGAAAATTTCATAAAAATATTAACTCGAATGTACAGCCCATTATTCATTTCGATTAAAATTCCAAAAATTCCAAAAAAACTTTGTCCAAGTTCGACTTTGAAAAAATTGAATAATAAATAAAATAGGAAATAAAATTCCAAAAATTTCAAAAATTCCAAAAAAACCTTGTCCAACTTGTCCGACTCATAAAAATATTAACTCGAATGTACAGCCTATTATTCATTTCGATCAAAATTCCAAAAATTCCAAAAATTCCAAAAATTCCAAAAAAACTTTGTCCAAGTTCGACTTTGAAAAAATTGAATAATAAATAAAATAGGAAATAAAATAGTTCTTCAATAAGGATCTAAAAATCGCGATCTCGTCCGCAATATTCTCAAGCTTCTCCGTTTGAATCAATTATCAAAATCAACCGATGAATGAAAATTTCATAAAAATATTAACTCGAATGTACAGCCCATTTATTCATTTCGATCAAAATTCCAAAAATTCCAAAAAAACTTTGTCCAAGTTCGACTCATAAAAATATTAACTCGAATACATTATTCATCTCGGGCGAAATTACAAAAGTTTCTCAAAAAGATTTCGACGGTAAAGCGAAAATCGATAACGTGTGTGGCATGTTGCGTGGTTTCCAGGTCCGCCGAGGGACTGCAAGGTGGGAGAATGGGGCCCGTGGAGCGCGTGCAGTCGTAGCTGCGGGGTAGGTGAGACGCAGAGGACGCGGAAGATCACGATAAAACCGCGGCGTGGCGGATCGTCGTGTCCACCCCTGAAAGAGACCAAGTGGTGCGGCAGCGCGAGCCCCTGCACCGACGGCAAATCCATCCTGGACAGCTATCAATGGTAGTCGTGGTGAAACGATCCCGCCAACGACGTACACGTCGACTCGAGATGATTTGATACCCCGAACGATCTGGAAGAAGTGGAGGAGGATTGAGAGGGGAGGGAGGGCCCCAGCCTGGGTCTCGGCCTGGGGGATACCTAGGCGAACACGGGCGGATCGTTACCAGTGGCCCGCTGGATTGCGTCAATAAAACGTCTATCGTAGTCGTAGCGCCAAAGATTTCGCGGGGGTGGAGACGCGTCGATATCACCGAATTGTCCGTCGATCGAGAATTGGATTATTCGTTACCCGTCGTGTTTAACAGTTTTTCGTTCGTTATACTCGTTTCGTGAAATTGATTGTTCCTCCTTAAGGCTGGAAATAATTTTTGCGCGATGAATTGCGATCGTTTTTTTTTTTCTTTTTTCTTTTAAATAAGCTGAGAAGCTGGATTTTTCAAGGAAGAAATATTGCGCTGAAGATTGGCCTACGAGTCGAGTAGTTCTGTACGACCTCGTTCGTGATTGTTGAGATCGAATTGAGAGCGATTTAGGAAAATACTTGAACATTTTATTTTTTTTTAAAGGAAAATCGGAGAACTCCTTACAATACTTAATGGTTAGATTGCGAATTTTTACGCAAATATATATTTTTCACTTTAAAATTTTTACACGATTATAACAAAATTACCGACGTTCTGCAAAATACTACATATTTCGCCCATTAGTTGAATATTCTGAACTGCACAAAAATCCGCAGTCTACTACCAATGATATATCTAAAAAATTCCCTATAAATTGATAACACTCCATTGCATCACTAGAAAACTTTTCCTCTAACGATCGTTCAAACGCTTTCCCTAATCACTGTACATATTTTCCGCGTGAAACGTTCTCTCGGCGAGAAGAAAGCAGGAGTCGAGTGTGCAAAACAGGACGACAGCGTACGCGAACGAGGGATCGTTAGGGGATCGTAGAATGCCGCTTTTCAACGGTCCTCGATCGATCGACATTCGCGATTCTCCTTGCGCGATATTTCTTATATACCGACCGAGCAAACTCTCGGGGAAAACTGGTCCGCCGATCGAGCTTCCACCCCTCCCTTCCACCTCGAGTTAGCGCTTTACGGACAGGTCCGCAGGTGTTGTATTGGCGCGCCATCCTCTCCCCTCGCGCAACTTGGACACCAACGTGGAGAAGAGGGGACGAAGAGGAGGAACGAAGGTTTTCCTCCCTGTTTATTAATCGTGCTCGGCTCGAACGATCGGAAACGAGAGATACTTCGTCGCGGAGAATACGAGAATTCGAGCCGGGGTTCATCCACGGATTATCCAGCTAGGAGTAAAGAGAATTTCCGAACGAAGAGGGATCGAGCGTCCCAGTTCTCGCAGGGAGAAAAAAAGGGAAGGAAAAAGGAAGGGAAAATTAAGGAGGAAGGAAGTGGAAGAGAGTTTTGCCGAAGGTTCGAAAAATTGCCGACAATTCCCCGGAGCCGAGGCGTTGAACGCAATTAGCCGGCGACCGGTCGGTTGCGCGAGGGAAACACCTCGTCTCGACGAGCGTGTGTGCGTGCGTGCGTGTGTGTGTATGCGTGGACGAGTTTACATGTGTGTATACGTGTGACGAATGAAGAAGGGAGAGCGGATGAGAAAGTTTGGTCCGTGGAAAATCCAACGGGTGGTTCGCGTGTCGATCGACGGTCTTAAGGAGGCTTAAGTCCCCGTTTCCCTGGATATCCTTTCATCCGAAACTAGCTTTGCATTTCTTCGTAACTCGTGTCCCGCGGGGCACGTGTGTTTTCGAGCCGAGAAAGTTTATTGATTCTTACGCCGAGTGTACTGTAAGTTCGAGGAATTGGAGAATTATGCGTTTCTTTCTTTTTTTTTTTTTTTTTTTTTTTTTTGAATGAAAAAGAGAGAGGAGGAGGAGGAGGAGTTTTGCAAAAAAAACGTGAACGATTGAAATCGATGGTTAGAATCGCTGAATTTATAGACACGGGTGTACGCTGCTTCTACGGTTCTATTAACCTTTTAACCGAGTGCACTCCTAGTTCGAGTGGTGTTCGTTCGTTTTTTATTCGAAGAATTTATCGATCCGGCGGCCTCCTTTCCCACGTTTCCACGTGGATAGAAATTCCGTGAAAATTTGAGGATAACTCTGAAGAATTGTTAGTTGAGAGTTATTTTTCGCCGGTGGACACTGCGTTGAGAATGAGAGTTACTCCGAAAGAAATATCATCATTTGCGAAAAATTATCCCTCGAGAACGATTCTTGAGAATTTTATTCTCGAATAATATATATATATATATATATATATATATATATTCGTATTTCGTTATTAATTTAACTCGATTGTTCATAGTTGTTATATGTAAAATAGTTTACGCGGTTAAAGGGTTAAAAAAGTGTTCCCCCTAAGAAATCAATATCGACGCAGGAAAGAGATGCCCGTCCCACCCCTGTCGAATCCACGCGAGATTCACACAAAGAGGAAGAACAAAGAAAAAGCGATTTCGAGAAAAAGAAGATTTCGATTTTCCCGCGTCAAGTGCTAACCCATTCTCGTATGGCGTAAATAAGAGGAATTTTTACAAAGGCTAAGAGAGAGAGAGAGAGAGAGAGAGAAACAAATAAAAAGAAAAGAAAAAGATATCATCAGGTACGTCTTAGTGTATTATATCTTTAGGCGTAAATTTAACGATAATAATTAACAACTAACGTTTAATCGTAATTCGTTAATTAATAGGCTCTTGGTTATTAATGGCGCCCGTGAAGGGGTGTGCGCAACGGCTTGTCCTCCTCGCGTATATTGTAATGTAATGTTTAATGTAACGAGCAACGCTGCAATTAAGCGGCGCACTGTCCGTCGAGGGACGTGCTCGTCGTGCGTGGTCAAGTATCGTTTCGAATAATTAAGAACGATCAAAGGGGAGTGGGGGGAAAAAAGGGTTCGTTTCGGCTCGAGGGGGTGCGCTCGTTCGTAATTTTTTTGATCGAGTTGTTTGAGCAACGCGAATTCTCAAATTCCTAGGAGACATCGTTTCGATTAATTGATTTTAGAATTTAAAAAAAAAAAAGAAAAGGAAGAAGACGAAGAAGAAGAAGAAGAAGAAAAATGGCGGGAAAAGAAAAATCAATATAGAGAGAGTACAAAAAAAAAAAAAAGAAGAGAAACAGTGTCGAGATTTTGTAGCAAAGTTCGACTACGGACGGTGTTACGACTCGCGAAATAAACAGAGGGAAAACATTTTCGCGAGCTTAATCCACGGAACGAGAAAGTTGTTCGGTGGATCGTGAAATTTCTCGCGGTACAATGCGTGCCGATAGAAACACCGTTGAAAGAGAGAGAGAGGGTGGAGGGCCTTTTCAAACCTGTGAAAGAAGAAGGAGAAGAAGAAGAAGGACCAAGCCGTCGCAGTTTTAGCAGCATTAAGGATGAACGTTTTATAAACTAAACGCTCGAGGGGACGCTTTCTTAACGAAAGTTTTCAACGACAAGGGGGGAGAGAAGGAGCAGTTGTACTTTGCCTAAGAAATAAAAGCGCGAGATAACAAGAGGAGAGAGAGGAGGATGTTACCAAAGAGACGCCCGTATAAATGTGTATCTTATCCTTTCCCGCTATATTTCCTTCCTTTCTTCCTTCCTTCCTTTCTTCCAAACCCCTTTTACGTTTCCCTTGAAAAACTTTTCCCCTTGAATCTTTCGATTCGAAGCTATACTTAATTACGACGTAAATTCGTGTTCTATTTCCCTTCCTCCTCTCGTGAAACGCGAATACGCTTCTTCCTCTCTTTCTCTCTTCTCCCTGAAACGGTTCACGGAAGACAATGACAAATCAATGAGAGGGAGCGACTCTCAAGGTAAGGAAAGGAGGATGATTCTGTACAAGTCACTGTGCATTCTAGCCTCTAAGGATCTAGCCGATAGGATTAGCCGTTAAGCAAGGGGAAAAAAAAAAAANAAAAAAAAAAACATGTAGCAATGTATAACACATAAGTTTATATTACATAATAAAATCTGTCGATAAAATCCGTTCGAACGATATTTTTCACTTGTGACGTATGATGAATGGTATTCGTATTCGTAATAAAGTAGCTACTATTTCAGGAATCAGTCGTGTACAATTTTCATCATCCTTCCCACATATCTGAACGCTTTTACAAACAAATAGAAGAAAAATGTGGAAACAGAAAAGTAGAAGAAAAAAAACTCTCTGTGTTCTCCAGATTTAATAACAACAGTCCAAGAGGTCAGTTCAAAATCTATAGTAAAAGAAATTTTACAAAATTTTATTGAAAATCCATTTATTCCGAACTACTCGCACTTTCCTCCTTTCTAATCCCTCTTTCAAAATAAAATCCACTATCCTAGAAAAATAATACAATAATCTATAACATTCATGTTTAAGAATTCCATCACTTCCAGAAAAATTAGCAAATAAAGCGAACTTTCGCGGATAACGCTCTCCCTCTTCCTCTTCCTCTTCCTCTTTCTCTCTCTCTCTCTCTCTCTCTCTCTCTCTCTCTCTCTCTGTTAACGATCCGATCCCTCTTCGCAACCCAACCGACAATATTAATAATCGTCCCGACGGAGCAATTCCGCAGTCGGGAGGGAGAGCTGGCAGCGTTGGTTGTTATCACGCAACATTACCCGAAAATAAAGGACGCGGTGCGGTTTGCCTCGAGAAGAGAAGAGAGAGAGAGAGAGAGAGAGAGAGTAGGGACAGGTAGCAGGAATACAATACTTGGAAGGCGTTGTTGGAACCCTTCGTCTGAGTGAGGAGGGTGGGAACCCAGCAGCAACCCCTCGACTTTCGAGGACGAGGCGAGTGCAATGATGCTGCACCAACCCTCTTTTTCTTTTTACCGAACCTTTGCCGAACCTATCTTTATCTCCCCGAGTTAATCGCATTAATGTCGCTCGTTTCTTTATTTCCGCGGAGGTCTTTTCGCCGGCGCTCACTCACCGAGATATTTACTCCCTTGCCAAGGAAATTAATCGTAGCGTAATGGATTTTTAAAGAAGGAGGGAAGCTCATTCAGAAATTTTCATCAAAATTCGTGTTCAAATCTTGAGTTAAGGAGAATTAATTGATTACGTGCGTATAGAATTTTAAATTATTAATTATTTTGATAAACGAGAGAGTTCCTTCGTATAAGAATAAAAAACTCTGTTTATTTCGTCGATTGATTAGATCTATTATCTTGGAGACAAATTATCTGATTATTTAGCAACGAAGAAGTAAAAAAAATTCTTGAAAATTCGTTTGTACACGCGAGAAGATCCGAGGATGGATTGAAACGGATGGATGTAAATCAGGTCGATGGATTTCGCTCGCCAAAATCTACAATCTATTGTCCCGAAGTTTCTAAGTCGACAGTGCAAATGTTTAAACGAGAGGAGAATCAAAGGATCGAGGATATGTCTTCCGGCTTGTTAGACCAACCCTCGACGCGCGTAAATGTTCCCAGACGGGGCCCAGCCTCCGTCCAGGAACATTTCTCCCTCTCCCCTTCGACAAGACGAGAATTAATTGTATTAACGTTTTAATTAATCAAGCTTGGACCCTCTTGGAGAAAGAGAAACGAAGACAGTTGGCAAAGATGACGGAACAGCCACCCCATCTTCCCTTCAAGGAGGGTTGAAACGTCGATTGAAACGAAGCTTCTCTCGTTAGCGTGTTTATCTTACTTTCGTCGATCTTTCGCCGGGAGATAAACGTAGCTTTATTAGAGAAACTTAAAGAAAATAGGCGCGGAAGTTTGCTTCTTGCTACCTCTCGAGATTCGAGGAAGGGGATGGTGTTCCGGGGACGTGGAAGATTTGACTAGCCGCTCTTCGGTGGTTAATGAAACGGAAACACTTTTGAAAACGGTGGAGAAACATTTTCCTCGATTTCGTAAATGTAATTAACGAAAATATTAATATCGAAGCTTCGTCGTTTCGCCTTCCTCCTGAAAATTATCCACTTTGCATACGACTTCGCAACTGGTGATGGACTTATTACGAAATCCAGGAAATTTGTTTGATATTCGATATTCCCTAAACGATCATCACTTTGATTTATCAATTTCATAAACATTCGTCCATACTATGAACCATCGCATCGATCTTTTTTTAAACCGAGAAATTAAAGATGATCCCAGGAGAGAGAGAGAGAGAGAGAGAGAGAGAGAGAGAGAGAGAGAGAGAGAGAGCATAAAAATTAAAACATTTAATTCTCAAACAGATGTAAAAATATTTTTGCATCGATTCGAAGAAATCATGAACCAATACCCCGTCAAAATCTATCAACCAATTATTTTCAGAAGCTTGTATCGATCCTCGTACGAATTCGTGACAAACTCGATACCGTTCTGTTCCGACCAGATACCAGTTAAAACGATCGTTCCACTCGTTTCGACGCGCGTACACGTGGTAGATTAGACCCGTTAAAACCGCGATTCAAACGAGAGATAATTGAGCGTGAAGAGCTCGAGGAGGGATGACGATAATGATGGAAGACGCGCGACTCGTATATCTGGATCGTTACTCGTTACTAGACCGTTGTAATTGAGATATTGTCAGTGGGACACGTGCGCCTGGTTAAAGGCTAAGACACTCGGAAGGTTCATAAAATTAATAACCCATAAATCCAAGGGAATATCGCCGAGAAAATTGGCCGAACATATATTACAGCCGGTGTACCCCGGCTCAACCCCTCAGCGATCCGCCCCTTTCCGTCCCTCGTGTTCAACGACGAGAGAAACTTTGTGTTCGAGGGGCTGGTGCAAAGGAGAAAGGTACGTGTTTTTTTCTTTTTCTTTTTTCTTTTTTTTTTTTTTTTATGAAAATAATATCTCGATATAAATTGTAAACCGTCGTTCATTCTTTTTCACGATTATAATGCTATATATTTTTTATAGAAATAGAAACGAATCACGTAAAAATTGTTTGTGGAAATAAATTTAGGATAAATCTTTTAAAATTACTTCCTTGATCTAAAAAAAACGTGATGTGATATATTTAAAATAAGTCTACTTATAAATATAAATTAAACAATTGGAGGCAAAAGAAAGACAATTTGTCGGGAAGCATTCCGTTTCTTGAGACCACAAGAAGCTCTGTTTAGAAATTTATTTACGAATAAGCGTATCAAATTGAAACGGAATTTGGATTAATTTCGGCGAAAAGGGGAATTAACAGCGAGAATTGTTAATGTCGCGGATATATCGACTCGTTCTACTACTTGGGGCGCGCGGAAGGAACGTGAGAATCAATGTTTAGTCTGCAAACAACACTGTACACTGCTGCGTTACTCGCAGTTTGCATCTGTTACGATTACATTATTCTAAACAATGCCCAGAGGTCTCGCTGCTCTCAATCAGACGGTGTGTAACTATCCGCCAGGGTTACTTCCTACCCTTCCGAGTCTCTCTCTCTCTCTCTCTCTCTCTCGTTTCATTCCCGTGTTACACTCACAGAAGTGTTTTCGAAGCGGAGAGGCCGCCACCATTGTTTATCCAATCTACTGAAAATCTGATCCGCCCGCTGTAAAACGCTCTCACGTTCCTTCCAGTAGTTCGAACTTTAATTTGGGCAGGCCGTGAATAATCGAGCATCTTGCAGCGAGATACGGACAGGTTCGTGATAGGTAAGTCGGTAAAAAAACGATTATTTATCATTATTACAAATTTTACACATATTGGGATTTGTCTCTCTAACGGAAAGAGGGATATCTTTGAATCTAATGAATAAAATTAAAAGTTTAAATTTATTAATTAATTCGAATTAACAGATCCGCTACAAGATCGATTTCGAGCCGATTTCGATTACTCGGCAATAAGATACGAAAAACTATAAATATATTAAGTCGAGTTACTCGAGGCTTAAATTTCCGAAAGTAGACCACGTTCAATCACTTTGCACTTACTTTGAATCCCAGTCACGAACCCCTAAACTCTCAATTCCCAAGATAAGATAGAAATCGGGCATAAAAGCTGGA